AACGATCCCATGAGCAATTGGCTCACAGTTTCGCCTAAACACATACCTCCTAAGGGTGATCCTAAATGTAGCCGGGGTTGGGCCACGGGTGGTGTGTGTGAAAAGTGCAGTGCTAAAGCAATTTAAAGGCAAGCACAACAATTTATAACCAAACAGCACTTCTAAAATTTGGTCGAATCACATTCAATCCCAACACCATCCTGCAAAACAAAGGTAAGTACAGACTACACCCCTTATACCTCCCACCTGCATCACCATTTAACACGTCATTAGTGGAACGTACCTGGGATCCTTGCGAGCACAAACACATGCATATCGTTCTATTTTAGGCTTAAGTCTACTTAGAAACCCAAGGGTCCCCAGCGGAGTCGCCAAGCCTGTCGCAACACGCTCTCGCGTGCTAGAATGGAGGTATTTTTCTACACGGGTCTCTCCCAAACCATACCTCACGTGACAGCGGGGGTTATTTGATCTAAATTTAAACTTGGAGTCGCCACTAGTCATTTATGGTAGGTTGACTAGAAACCTAATCGAGGTACGGGAGAAATATCACGATCCTACGAACCAAAGATTCTGAATAATGGACTTAGTTACGTTAATGATCTCAAATTGAGATCATTAACGCCCTTTCGGTACCTAAGAACGATATGGCATGTCTAACGTGTCATACGGATTCCTAAGGTCAATTCACTAATCTAATCATGAACAAACAATTAAGCATCCAAGAATTAAATGCGCAATCAATGGCAAATCAATCATAGCAACCCTAATTTGGCCACTAAAAATCAAAATCAAGTAAAACACCTAAACCCTAATAAAAGCTCTAGAGGCTTATTCATTTAATGGTGCATTTTTGGGTTTAGGGTTTTTTAGGGGTTTTTCTTAGAAATGCCACTTAGGCACTTCCAAAAATTCAAACTTCACTTCCTGAGGTTGGCCACAATGAATTTGGGCCATTCTGTGAATTTTGGGAATTTTCGATTTATTTTTTTTTCGGAAAATGTTTAATCCTAATTTCATTAACCGAGAACTGAATTTTTTTATTTTTTTGCAAAATTTTTGAATTTTCTGAAATTTGAAATTTTTTTATGGATTTTCGAATTTTTTATTTTTTATGATTTTTCTCAATTTTCTGAATTTTTTTATGAATTTTCTAAATTTTTTTATGCAATTTTCTGAGAATTTTTGGAATTTTTACGAATTTTTCTAAAATTCCCGAAATTTTTGAGTTTTTTCTGAAATTTCCGAAAATTCTAATTTTCTAAAAAAATACTAATTTTTTTTTATGATTTTTCTAATTTTCCTATTTTTTAGAATTTTTCTGATTTTTTTAATTTTTTTTAGAATTCTGAAATTTCCGAAAATTCTAATTTTCTAAAAAAATCCTAATTTTTTTTTTTATGATTTTTCTAATTTTCCTATTTTTTAGAATTTTTCTGATTTTTTTAATTTTTTTTAGAATTTTCTGATTTTTTTATATGAATTTTTTATTTCCCGCCGGAAAATTGAACCGGACCAGACCTGTTCAGACCAGTTCGGCCGAGACCGAACCGGCCGGCACCAGCACCGGCGCCGATCACATCCTCTGGCGAGCACGGTGCCAAAACGGCGCCGTTTGGGCTTGTTTTCTCTTCGGCATTTCGCCGAACACCTAGTGTGCGTGTTTTTGTATTTCGTGTTATCAAAGCCGCGACTTCAAGCCTTTCTCCGGTGACCTTCCGGTGGTGTTCTGGAGCTGATTTTTAGTTCTGGATAATCTCCATGTTACTAGCTATTGATCTAGCCTATTTGGTACGCCGCCGGACCTCCGCCGGTTGGCGAAAACCGAGCCTAAAAAACCTAATTCATCTCTAACTAAACCTATGATTATAGAACTTATATCACCATTCTACATCGCCCTAACCGTCTAACACGAACCTAATGACTAGAAAATCATCAATCAATGTTAAAGAAGACTGACTTGGATGACCTATGGTCATGGCGACGTTCCGGTCAAGTCGGGGAAGCTCCGGCGAAGTTCAACAACCATGGCCAACTCGGTTTATGCAGGATTTATCGTTCAAAATGCAACCAAAATAATGAAATATGTGATCAGAACATGTTTTGGTTATAATCATAGCTAAAATCGAGAAGCACATACACGATTGAACTAAAAACCTATTCTGGAAAATCGGGAAAACTGTGACGACGAACGAAGTTTACCTGCTTCGTCGAAGGACAAATAAGAGTCTCCGAGCTAATCTGCCACCGTCGGACTATCCTTCGACAATTGATCTCTCAGTCTGTGACCTCTGCTTTGCCGGACAACACCTGAACTCGCCAACCGAGCTTGATTTTCACGCCTTGACGATCAACTTTGTCTCTGGATTTTCAGGTATGGAGGTCCACAATCAGAGCTAATTTGCCGGCATTTTTCGCATGAAAAACGCCGATCGCTCAACTCCCGAGACCTCTACTCAGAACCTCTCTCGTTTGGGCTTTCTTTTGCGATCGTTTCTCTCTCTCCTCTCTCTCTGGAATTTTTCCGAATGACTTCCGTGCGCGCCATAACATTTTTTGCCTTTTTGTTGATCAAATTCTCTCGCCCAAAGTTCGTTAGCACCGACTCGGAATCAGTTAGAATGATTCGCTGGCGCCAGCTGGAGATTCTCCAGCTGGCACGTTCGATTTCCACGTGCTAGATTGATTGGAGAGGTCGTCAAAGTCGAGGGTTCAAGATGTTTTTTCTGGGTTTATCGCGTGTTGGGCAATCCGGGCGAAGGGGATGACCGACCCGGCTGACCCGGCAGACCAGGGTTGGTCTAAAATCACGAATTAACTCGAATTTTGACCAAATTTTCCAAATTAAACCCAAGAATCGAATTACCCATGACATTTTACATCAAAATATGTGATTTTACCCAATTTTTGTTTCAATTTAACCCAAGATTTTTAATTCACAACATTCGGGTTATTGGGGTTTTATTCAATTCAATGCCTTAATGACCTGATTAGGCAAAATTGATGCCAAAATTGGATTACCCACACCTGATTAACCCTAGGATTGATGGTCTTAGGATTCGACAATTTCGAATTGGACACGATTCCCAATTTGGGTTCAAAATTCCTAATTTCCAATTGATTTTTGGGGATTTTTGATTTATCTGTTAAATTGTGCAATTGGACTGACCATTATGCAATTCAAGGTTCTAGAATCATTTGTTGTGAAGACACTATGACCTAAAAATGACTAGAAAGTATTTAATTGAATTTTTGGCTCAATTTGGGTTGATTTTGCCTAATTTTGGGAAAAACATATACCCGATTGAGATTTTCCAAAATTGACAATTTATTTATGAAATTGGATTTAAAATAAGACTAATGACTATTTTTATGGAATTTTATGATTCCATTTGCTATTTTTGTTGATTTTCTCACCTATTTTGACTAAAAGAAATTAAGGAAAATGCAGAAAAATGCTAAAAATTTATTTTTGGTTTAGAACTAGGTTTCTAGGCTTGGCCAAGGTTCCTAATCCTATTTTTGAGATTTTTGAAAAATTTGAAAAATGAGCTAAAAATTAGGTGTCAACAGAAGTATTATTTTATTATTTGTTTATTATATAGGGACAAGTGCACTAGAATTCTTAAAACTTGTTGCGAAAATGTAATTGAGTCTTAAAACTTTCAAAAAGTACAATTAAGTCCTAAAACTTGTCAAATTTGTGCAATTAAATCCTTCCGTTAACACCATCAACTTGTTTAACGGAAAAAGATGACGTGGCATTTTTAAATTAATTTCTCTCTCCTACATGGCCTTTTTTTATTAGGGTTAATACAATAAAAAATCCCAAACTGGTACACCTGTGACAATTTTATCCCAAACTAATTTTTTGACCACAAAAAATTCCAAACTAGTACACCTATGACAAATTTACCCCAAACTAATATTTTGACCACTAAAAACCCCAAATTGATACATTTGTGATAAATTTACCCTCCGTTAGTTTCTGTTAAATTGAATTAATACAAAAAAAAATCACAAACTGTTACACCTGTGACAAACGGAGGGTAAAATATAAAACTGGCACATCAGTCAACTGTCGTGTGTCATTTAACAAAGCAATTTGACAATAAAATTTAACGGAAACAAATTGAGGATAAATTTGTCACAGGTGTACCAGTTTGGGGTTTTTGTTTGTCAAAATATTAGTTTGGGGTAAAATTATCACAAGTGTACCAGTTTGGGGTTTTTTGTGGTATTAACCCTTTTATTATATTCTTCTTCAAATCTTATTTTAATTAGATTAAAAAATTAAAAAGCTGAAATTTATCTTTAAAAAAATTGAAATAGAAGAAGAAAATGGCAGGGTAGAGCTCCCCAATTTGATAAGTTTTATGATTTGATTGTATTTTTTGAAAGTTTTATGACTCACTTGCATTTTCGCAATAAGTTTTAAGACTTCTAGTACACTTATCCTTATTATATATTAAAGTGTCCACGGGTGACTGACTAACCATTTCATATTTTGGTGAAAATACTATATTTAATGTTATAAGTGAGATTTTTCAATTTTAGGATGACTAGGTTTAAAGCCCGGACTCTTCACCAGTTTGCACTAAGATAAGGATCTATAGTGAACTGAAGTTTTGACATTAGAATTCCATTGGAACGGCCATAATTTTCTTCTTGAAACTTGAACCGGAAGAAACAATTGGAATGGTAAGACTACCTTCATTCAATAGCGTGTTTTGAATGAAAATCATTAAGTCAAACAACGGCCATTGACTTGGATTTGGCACCTTATCTTCTGTTCAAAGTTCAAACACTGATGCACCAGGTGTAACCTCGTTGAAGCCCGAAAAGTCTAAGTTTTGCATACTTCGAGCATGATACGGCTCATAATTATACAATGGAGACATTAATGTATCATCATCCGAATCAGAGTCATGACTTTAGGTTTCCATTTCCCCTATAAAAGCACGACCCCAGTGAACTGCTATCAGAAAACTCATCAGGAACATCATGGCTCGGAGCAATGCATGTTGTCTGGTGCTTCTCCTCCTATGTGGTGAGTCTTAATATTCTTAATCTGCCCCCCGTCGATGTCCTTGCACGCACACGTCTTGACTCCACGACTCTGATGCCTTCAAATCGGTGATCGCATAAAGTAAACATCTTTGTTTCTTGATAGGTGCACTTCTACTGGAAATGAATCCCGGGATGACGGTGATTAGCGCTGTAGCTTGTCCACAGTACTGCTTGGATGTGGACTATATGACGTGCCCGTCCACCGGTGATGAAAAACTGAGTCCCAAGTGCAACTGCTGCCTCGCTCTGAAAGGCTGCACTCTTCACCTGGCAGATGGCACATCGGTTTCTTGCCGTTGAAGAAATCGGAAGTCTTCTCAAAATGTTATGTGAAATATTTCTGATCGAACTCTGTGACTGAATTGAATAAAGATCGCAAAAAAGAAGTGAATATTGCGTTGTCTTTAACTAAGGTAATTCACTTGCTTGGGTTCTGATGATATCTTTCGTCGTGCTTCGTTATGTTATTTTGTTGCATTCATATATGCCGCGAGGTTAGAGTACAAGGATTGGGGCGATTTCCCTGATCCTTTCTTGGTTTTGTCTATTTCAGATTTAGAGTCCCAGACCTCATATGAGTCAGAAGTTGCTATTATAACCCGAAGGACTTTCAACACTTACTCACGATAGGAAAAAGGACATGACAAGTGTCATAATATTTTTTTTTGATCATTTGAGTGCTATAACTTATGTATGGAGCTCACTTGAGTATCATAACCTAATTTCTAATGATATAAATGCTATACAACTTTTCAATCGATCAGTTGAGTGCTATAATTTTTTGGGTTAATACCACAAAAACCCCAAATTGGTACATCTGCGATTATTTTACCGCAAACTAATTTTTTGACCACCAAAAACCCCAAACTGGTATACCTGTGATAATTTTACCCACAGTTTGTTTCCGTTAAATTTTACTGTCAAATTACTTTGTTAAATGACACGCGGTAGTTGATTGATGTGCTAGTTTTATGTTTTACCTTTCGTTTGTCATAGGTGTACCAGTTTGTGATTTTTTGTGGTATTAATCCAATTTAACGGAAATTAATGGAGGGTAAATTTTTCACAAATGTATCAGTTTGGGGTTTTTAGTGGTCAAAATATTAGTTTGAGATAAAATTGTCACAGGTGCACCAGTTTGGGATTTTTTGTGGTCAATAATTAGTTTGGGGTAAAATTATCACAGGTGTACCAGTTTGGGGTTTTTCGTGGTATTAACCCTAATTTTTTTAAAGGTTCAAGACAAGTACCATGCCACGTCGGATTTCTAGCACTTAGGTGAACGCTATTCAAAAGTTATGCCACTTAAGTAATCAATTGAAAGTTATGTTACTTAAATAAATGTTGTTTTAAAAGTTATGACATTCAAGTGTTCGAAAAAAAAGTTATAACATTCGAGTGAGCGTCGTACAAAAATTATGACATTTGTGGTGTCCTTATTCCTACTCACAACTATATGTTTAAGTTCCTCTTGGCAACTTTTTGACATATAAGTAAAGGCTTCGATGACGTGATGATATACAGCAAATGCTTTTAAAATGTACGTGGACAATTCAAAACTCTAAGGCTCCGTTCGTTTGGTGGAAAATATTGTGTTTTTGGAAAATGTTTTCCCGAAAATCATTTTCCTAGAAAATGTTTTTCCAGAACACAATTTTCCGGTGTTCGGCTGAAATATGAAAAAGTTTCGGAAAATATTTTCCAGCGTTCGGCAACGATCGCCGCCGGCTGTGTTCTTTTTCCTTCTTCTTCTCCGGCAGGTCGCCGGCCACGGCCACGGCCGACGTCCGGCGACCGACCAGAGGTGAGCTCAAGCGTTGCCACAGGTCGGCAAGGCCTCAGCTCGCCCAGGTCGCCGGATCTTATGAGTCCCGAGCTCGCCGGCTGTGCGAGCTGGGGCCTCGCCGGATCTGGGGAGGCCCGAGCTCGCCGGCCGTGCGAGCTGGGGCGTCGCCGGACGTCGGCGAACCTCGCCCAGGTCGCCGGACGTCGGCGAGGCTCTAGCGAGGCCGAGCTCGCCGGTCGCCGGCCTGCCGACTGGCTGAGGTAGAAGAAGCAGAAGTAACAAAAAAAGAAAAAAGAAAATAGGAAGAAGTCTGAAGCAAAGCAGAGCTTCAGACTTCCGGAAAATGACTTCCGCTTCTCAGAAGCGGAAGTCATTTTCCTCAAAACAATGAAGGATTTGGGGATGGAGAAGGAAAATATTTTCCCACGGAAAACATTTTCCGCCCCCGAACACCAGAAAACGCGAAAAATATTTTCCGGAAAAATATTTTTCGGGGCACGAACACAACCTAAGTATACTCCATTCCCAATAGAGAGAGAGATGGTCATTCCTCATTTGGCACTCACCCTTTCATAAGCAAGAGTCAGCTGTCAAAAACCGACTTAATTGTCAAATGTGTATGAAGCATATCGGGGATCATCTTTGCTTTAAGCCTTCAAATCTTGCATAGCGCGTGTTAACAGAGAAAATTGTCCAAAAATCCTAAATTTATTACATTTTTGCCAATTTAGTCCTAAACATTTTAATTGTGCCAATTGAGTCATAAACCTTTTTACATTTTGCCAATTAAGTCCATCCAGCCAATTTTGGCCGAAAATCGTTCACGTGGACACCGGCGCTGACATGGACAATTTTTAATAATATTTTAATTTTTTTCGGATTTTTTTATTAAATTTTTATATTATATTATATTTTTTCTTTTCTTTTCTTTCGTTTTATTTTTCCTTCTTTACTTTTTTTTTTCCTTTTTTTTATAAGGTTGGCAGGGGACCTCTAGCCATCAGCTGAAGCCGGGCGACCCCCACTAGCCACTAGGTGAGGGCTTACAGCCCTCGCTCACAATTGGGCGAGGACCGCGAGCCCTCGCTCACAGCTGGGCGAGGACTGCGAGCCCTCGCCGGCCACTGGCGAGGGTTGCAGCCTTCGCTCACGGCTAGGTGAGGACTGCGATCCCTCGTTCAAGTTGAGCGCTGCGATCCCTCGTTCAAGTTGAGCGCTGCGAACCCTCGCCTAGTGGCCGGCGGGGGCCGCGACCTTCGCCTAGTGGCCGGTGAGGGCCGCGACCCTCGCCAGTTTGTGTCCACGTCAACGATTTCAGGACAAAATTGATCGGCGCCGGTCGTGCCACGTAGGAAGGCCGGAGTCAACGTCAATGATTTCCGATCAAAATTGGCAGGATGGACTCAATTGGCAAAACATGAAAATGTTTATGACTAAATTGGCACAATTAAAAGGTTTAAGGTTGAATTGGCAAAAGTGCAATAGGTTTAGGATTTTTTGGACAATTTTCCCCGTGTTAATGTGTGTGTGTGTGTTAGGTTTTCAGCAGTACGAGAAATCCCACACAGTAAAATTGACGAGGGGTGAAAGTGTAAGTTTATTTGGTTGGTCCATAACTCAATTGTTTGAGCTTTTGTGTGAAGGTAGATTTAAGTATGCCAATTGGTTTGGCCTTGAGCTTCCTCCCTAGAACGAAGGTATAAGTCTATCAAACTTTTGTTGCGCGTCCCAAAACGAGTGAATGTGCTCGAAAGAAACTACAAGATCTGGAAATTGGATTATCTTTGTGCATTAGCAAAAATGAGTAGTTTTGTTTAAACATGTCACATCCCTCGAATCTTTAATCTGATGTTAACAAACTCCCTCCAATTTGACTACTTTGGTGGCTCCTCCGAAATTCTGTGACAACGGCTAGACAAACATATAGGTGACATGATCTCTTGGTTGACGACAAATTCAACTTTCGAAATTGTGTTCACTTCAATTATGTCATGCCCCGATCCTCGAGCACGCAACAACCCCTATTCACTTAGGTCATTTGCATACGACGTCCCAAGACTCGTCGCCGACCTTTCATTTTTTCTTTCGATTACGCATGCGGAAGCGACAACAATCACCCAGTCATAACAGTAAACGGCAGAGATAGTAATAACAATCAACAACATTCATGCCAAAACGCCATTTTATTTAATTACTGGATTAACTCCAAGGAAACACATTTACAAACCCTTCAAGGGCATCTTCCTTACAAGCCTATCAAAAAGATACTGAGTTGGGGCTCAATCTACTCCATCCAAAAGTGGGTCATCCCAAAAAGAACCGATCCTAGGCATGTCCTTCAAGGACTATCAACATAGTGGTTCGGCGAGTCAAAATAGGGCGAGTCGGTGTCATGCTCCGACGGATCGTAATCTGACGGGCACATAGGATCCGGTTTGGTCTCGGGATTCTCCACTGACCTGTCAGGTGGGTCAATGTCCATAGGATTCCAGATCTCCTGCCCAGGGCTCCCATCTGGAGGACCATCAAATCCCCTTAGAGGACTGTACAGGTCCTCGCCCTCACGGATGAACTATGCCTAGAACCAATGAGGGACCCAAAAGCTAGGCCCTCATCCACCCACACAGTAGACAGGTGGCGCTCAAAAGATGCGGCTTGCCAGGAAAACGATGGGTAGTAATAATACGGCAAAAGGACACTATAAGTGCCATAACTTGTGTACGGCGCTCACTTTGATGCCATAACTTTTTTTCGGATCGCTTTGGTGCCAAGTTGGAGGAAAAACGATCACTTAAGTGTCATAACTTTTTTTTGGATCACTTTAGTGCTAAAATTTTTTAAAAACGATCACTTAAGTGCTAAAATTTTTGAAAAACGAACATTTAAGTGCTAAAATTTTTTAAAAACGATCACTTAAGTGCCAATCTCCGGCGAGACTCCGGCGAGCCACGTCAGCTTCAGAAATTAATAAAAAAAATGCCACGTCAGATTTCCGGCGAAAAATTGTGTACGGCACCGGAGTTGGCACTTAAGTGATCGTTTTTCAAAAATTTTAGCACTTAAGTGATCGTTTTTCAAAAATTTTAGCACTAAAATGATCCAAAAAAAAGTTATAACACTAAAGTGAGCGCCGTACACAAGTTATGGCACTTGTAGTGTTCTTTTGCCGTAAAATACTATCCATATCCTGCGGCACCCCAAACCGCATCGGGTGGTTCGTCATCCTAAGGTCCTGGAAAACAGTTAATAATAACAAATGAGATGTAAATCTCAGGAAGTTAACGATCTAAGCCTCGTTTAGGAAGTCCACTAGTCTCGGATGCACCTAAAACATGCAATGATATAATGATGACAAATCAATAGCAATGCAACCCCTTGTTTTGCCTCAGTTATACATAGTGTCAGGCAACTAAGCACAACATACACAAACACGCCATCATACATTTGCAGACATCTTTACCTTGTCTTAAAACATGCCCTGCACGTTATGAATCATCATGTGCCATAATAATACAATGAGCATATAACATTATCAGACACATAACGACTTTTTATGCACGATGCACCCATGCGTGTTCCGATTATTAAGACTATTCAGGGCCACGACACAACCCTACGGTTTGGCGGTCTTCCAACATGACCGACATCTATCACAGCCACTTAGGGAACACTCGTCCTCGCACGAGGGTCTTCTGCTTTAATAGGGTATTGACCACGGCCAATCAGGGCACGCTCGAAATCCATCGGGGGTCTCATCATGGCCATTCAAAGCAAGCTCGCAATTAGGCGGGGGTTTCATCACGGCCATTCAAGGCACACCCGCAATCAGACGAGGGTTTCATCACGGCCATTTAAGGCACGCCCACACTCATACAGGGGTAACGGTTTCTCATTATGTGATCACGCAAGCATTTAAACCACTCAAGCCAATTTCATTTTTCCTTATTTAACCAAAGTATACGTGGTTGTGATCACATATCAAAATATTGCAACTTTCATGCCTAAAAATACAGTAATAAATTCACACGTGATCACATACACACAATTAAACCGTCAAACTTTGCATGCTTCCCTTTTTAAACATTCTTGCCGTATTTAACTTATAAAACTTGACATATAAAGTCGACACCTCTGGTTTTACTATTTATATGATCACAAAAACCCTTCTAAAAATTAAATAACAAGGTTCACATAGGCCAATTATTTTTCAGGGTAAAGCAAGCATTAAATAGTATGAAACGACTTACCAAAAAAAAAAATAGTATGAAACGAACTTTTCACCAGCCCTTGCACTGTTCACCTGTCTCTCTCGGTGCTCTCTCGCTGGCTGAGTGAGTTACACTGTTCACCCGCGGCTTCTCTTCTACTCCAGGACGATCCATCCGATCATTTCTTCTGCATTTTGGAGCCTTGTAGCACCTGTAAAGGTCCTTCCCTTGCACCATTCGGATCCTTGGTTGGTGCCCTCGTGGAGCCCGAATTGCAGATCTGGTTTTTCTGGATTTCTATTTTTGGTGTTCACGACCTGCGGCTCCTCTTCTGATCCTGGACGATCCTTCCGTTCAATTCCTCTGCATCTTGGAGCCTTGTAGCACCTGTAAGTTTGCATCCCTTGAACCGTTGGGATTCTTGGTTGGTGCCCGTGAACAGCCTCGCTTGTAGATCTGGGTTTTCATTCTCTCGCATACTGTTGCGAGACACTGTGCACCCGCGGTTTCTATTTTCTGTTCTTGGGAGCCATACAGTGCCTGTACGATTACTTCCATTGAACCTTTGGGATTCTTGATTGGTGCCGTCTGCAGTCTCGCTGGTTGATATAGATTGTTCTGGGCTTCTGCATTCTGGTGTTGAACTTGCTCTCTGAACTCCTCCCGATAGAGCTGGTTGATCTTTGGTGTTGGTTGAACATTGCTTTTTACCTGATCCTATAGGGTGTACTCTTCTCTGTTCCACCCTTTCTCTATGGATTTCTCGGACTAAGGATCTCCATGGCTAGGCATCTCGCTATTCCTATGGAGCCTTCTAGTCCGACGCAATCCTTGGCTTTGGCAAGTACCAAGCAACCTAAGGCATCTTCCAAGCAAGTGCCTGGGTCCAATGTTCGCTTGCCTGGAAATCTAGTGCAGCCCACTTCAGCGGCTATTGTAGAGCAGAAATCTCACACTAATGAAGCTAATGTAGGTGGCCCTTCTTCTGTCCATCCTGCAGCTCCAAAACAGCGCCAGCGGAGTAGAGGGCGCAGTAGAGTGAGGTATGACTCCAACCTGGCTCGTGTTGATTCCACTGGTGGGGGATCTTCAATTCATCAGCAAGGCCAAGCCTTGGCAAGGAATAGGCGAAGCCAAAGCAAAGGGATATCGTCAACTACAGTACCATCCCGGGAACTAGCTCCGCAGCCCGGCCAACGATCCTGGGCTGCTGTGGCAAAATCTATGGAGAAGGGCTACAACCTCTCCTACATCCCACCTGCTATTGTTGATGGGAAACCAATTGTTAGAATCTCTCTAGAGATTCTTAGAGACACAAACCCAAGATGGCAGGAATGCCTTGTGGGCTATTTCGTTGGGAAGAAACTTCCATTCAAGATGACTGAAAATGCAATAAAAAACATTTGGGGGACACAAGTGGTGGATGTTCTTGCGAATGGGGATGGATTTTTCTTCTTCCATATCCCCGACAGCTCCTTTCGCCAGAAAATTCTGGATAGTGGTCCTCTCACGATCCTTAGAGTTCCCATGATCCTGCAGCAATGACGATACCTGGTCCATTAAGGTCGAATATGAATGGCGACCTATATCCTGCTCGGTATGTGGTACGTTTGGCCACAAGTGCACGATTGCCAGTCAAAATCTTTCTGTTATACAGAAGCCTCAAGCACAAGTTAATCAGGCAGAAGATGTTCCTTCATCAGGCGAAGGTAAATGGGAAACTGTCGGTAAAAGGCAAGCTGGGGTGCAACTAAAAGTCTCTGCCATAGCAACATCCTCAAACCAAGGGCAGACTCTCCCTACCCCCGGGAACATTGTTGCCCCAGTGGCTCTTCAGCCTCCTCCCATTCCAGTAATTTCCCCTGCTTCTTTGGGCGATGTCTCTGATTCGGAGGAATCTGAAGCTGGTACAGCTAGTAATGTGGGTAGTGATGCAGATGATGACCCTCCATCTCCTCTCCCTGCCGCTCCGAGCACCAGATCAAGAGCTGGGATGCACCAAGGAGGAGACCCTCAAACAGGATCCCTTCAGTCCCCCCCTATGCCTGAAACGGTTTTGCCTACTCCTCAAAGCAGTCCTTCTACATCTAAGAAGGCCAACCCTAAATCTGGGAAGCGGGGTGGCCCTAAGAAGAGGTAATCCTACCCCTTCCTGTACATATGTTTTTTGTCGTCTGGAATATTAGGGGCCTTATGGCCCCCTTAAAACAGGCTGAGATTAGATCATTAGTCAGATCTAAAAACCTTTCTTGCATTGGTATCCTGGAAACTAAGGTTAAACCAAGCTCTTTTGCTAACATCTCTACGGGGCTACTGCCGGGATGGTCCTGGTCCTCTAACTTTAATTCCTCCCCTCGGGGTAGAATTTGGATTGGCTGAAATGCCCGGGAGGTACAAATGGATGTCCGCTCGGAATCTTCTCAGGCTATTCACCTGCACATGTGTTTGCTGGCAATGAATAAGTCTTTTCATGTTTCTATAATCTATGGTGAGCATACATTTACTGCTCGCCGGTCCCTATGGACTGATCTTGTTCAGACCAGCATGGTTGTTTCTGATGAGCCTTGGCTGGTGGCTAGGGATTTCAATGCCATCCGTGATCACTCGGATAGAATGGGCAGCTCCAATGCATGGATTCCAGCATTTGATGAACTTGCTTTGTGTCTAGACCAAGCTGGGTTGGATGATCTTAAATATGTTGGCCATCGCTTTACTTGGTCGACATCTTCTGGTGCCTCCCGAAAACAAAGGAAGATTGATAGAGTCCTTGTTAATGATCAGTGGACCAGCACCTTCTCCTATTCGAAGGCTACTTTTTTGGCTCCAAGGGTGTCCGACCACACTCCTATGATCATTCGAATTGTGCTTCCCTCTCTGTCCAGGAAGCCTTTCAAGTTCTTTAATTGCTGGGTGTCTCACCCTTCATTTCTGCCTATTGTCACTCAGACATGGGACTCCCGGATCACTGGAACTCCTATGTTCATCTTATGCTGCAAGCTGAAGATTCTCAAGGAAAGACTCAAACAACTTAACAAGGACTCTTTCTCTGATATTTCAGGTTGCACCGCACAGGCAAGATCGGCTTTGTCTATAACTCAAGATGCTCTTGTTAGGGACCCCTTAAACCTGTCTCTGGCTGCTCTGGAGAAGGATCAGCTCCATGACTTCACGTCTCTTAGGATCAGGAGGAATCGTTCTTTAAACAGAAATCCAGGATCAAATGGCTGAAAGAAGGTGACCGCAATACCAAGTATTTCCACCATTTTGTCAACAGAAGACATATCCTCAATCGTATAATCTCGGTTTCGGATGACAATGGATCTGTCCTTACTGAACCGACACTTGTCCACAATCATATTGTCAATCATTTTCAGGATTTACTTGCTTCCAGCTCTTCACTTGATTTGCCTTCATCGCTGGATATCCAGGGCGTGATTGGCCGGTCTCTCAATGAGGACCAGGTACAGTTTCTTACCCGGCAGGTCACTGAATTGGAAATCAGAAACACATTATTCTCCCTTCCTAAGGGCAAAGTCCCGGGGCCAGATGGGTTTAATGTTGAATTTTTTCTAGAAGCTTGGGAAATTGTCGGACCTTTGGTCATTTTGGCGATCAATGATTTTTTTCATTTCTGACACCCTTCTTAAGGAGACCAATGCCACCATCCTTACACTTGTGCCTAAGGTTCCCAATGCATTGGCTTTGAATGACTTTAGGCCTATTGCATGTTGTAATACGATTTACAAGTGCATCACCAAGATATTGGCTAACAGAATTGCATCTGTTCTGCCTTCGATCATTAACCCCCCGCAGAATGCATTCGTCAAAAAGCGGAGAATAGGTGACAACATACTTATTGCCCAAGAACTTTTTGCTGGTTTCCATCACCAACCTTATCTGGCCAAATGCGCTATCAAGGTAGACTTTCAAAAGGTATATGATACGGTTGACTGGGGTTTCTTGCAGCTGACCTTGCAAGCATTTGGCTTTCCCCAAGTGTTCATCAAGCTTTTTATGGAGTGCGTGACTACCCCGAAATTCTCGGTTTCCATCAATGGGACTCTCCATGGTTTTTTCTCTAGTGGTAGAGGCATTCGTCAAGGGGACCCCATATCTCCCTACCTATTTACCCTAGTCATCGAAGTATTCACCGGCATTCTCAATGCTCACACTCAGCTCCCAGGCTTTAAATTCTTTTGGCGATGTAAGGCAACCAGACTCACTCATTTGTTTTTTGCCAATTATGTCCTCTTATTCGCGCAAGCAAATCTGGTTTCGACCACACTATTGAAGGACGCCCTGGACCAGTTCTCTCGGTGGTCTGGCCTCAAGCCGAATGTCAACAAGAGTGAAATTTTCTTCTCGGGAGGGACACCCCAACTGCGGGACCAGATATTGCATTCTTTCGGATACCTTGAAGGTATGCTACCCTTTCGATATCTTGGAGTTCCTATCTCTGCCTCTAGGTTGAGTAAGGCCGATTGTACATTGCTTGTCAATTCTATTACGGCTCGAGCTCGCTCTTGGGCCCAACGGTTTCTCTCCTTTGCGGGACGCTTGCAGCTGATTAAATCTGCTCTCCACGCCATACATGTCTTTTGGGCTTCTATATTCACCCTCCCTCGATCGGTCATAGCGAGGATAGAACTGATTCTCAGACAATTCCTTTGGAAAGGTCCTGATTTAGGGGTTGGTGGTGCCAAAGTATCCTAGAGTCGTGTTTGTCTCCCCAAGTAAGAAGGTGGACTGGGCATACGTAGGCTCATTGATTGCAATCAAGCGGCTATGCTCAAACATATTTGGATCCTTTTCACGGATAAGGAATCCCTATGGTGTAAATGGATTCACTCCAATTTCCTCAAATCTAAAAATTTCTGGGTTGCATCCATACCATCTTTTTGCTCCTGGACATGGAAAAAGATACTGGATTTACGCCAGACATTCCAATCGCAATTCAAATGGCGAATAGGTAATGGTAAGACCACTTCCTTCTGGTTCGATTCTTGGCATCCCAAAAGCCCACTTTATAAGATCTTCTCGGATAGGGATATTTTCTGTTCTGGTATCCCACGTTCGGCCTCGGTTTGTGAATTCTTTTCAAGGGCTTGGCACCAGTCGAATGTGTTGCAATCATTCAACTCTTGGGCGTCTCCTCTCCCCTTACTTAATGTCGATATACTAGATCACTTTGTTTGGCTAGGACACTCGTCTGGAATCTTCTCTATTACCTCGACTTGGGAATTGGTACGGACAAGAGGACAAGCGGTCTACTGGGATTCTTTCATCTGGGACTATCATATTGCACCGCGCCACGGTTTTTTGATGTGGTTGATGGCCCTTAATAGGCTTCCCACGCAGGTCTTCCTACTGAACTATCATAGAATATCTGAAGGTTTATGCGCCTTTTGCCACCTTAGACTAGACTTGATCGATCATTTATTCTTTGGGTACATTGCTACGGGCTCCCTCGCGCAATATTGGGCTACTAATTGTCACCTTTCTTGGCTTAATGGGTCCTGGCAACAGAATCTCCGGTGGGGTGTTCGTTTCATTGGTGGAGATAGCTTTCATCAATGTATCTCTCGGTTTGCTCTTGGGGCATTGTGCCACCTCATCTGGATTGAACGGAATAATATTCTCTTCAGGAATGGCACCCATTTTATGCCTGCTCTTCGCAACCATCTTGCCAAGGTAGTTAGAGACAAAGGCCTTTTTCTCAAGCCAGTCCAAGACAATCCTCGGAATAGAAGGATTCAAGCCAGTTGGGGCATATCTGACTCCATTTTTAGCTGACCTCCTCTTGGAGTATATGTGTTTGTCTTCTGTTGGCTGCCTGTTAGCCTTCCTTTTATTGCACTTCCTGTGCTTTCTGTATTAGTCGCAACACCTTTGTACTGGTCGGGACACTCTCTGTCTCCTCAGGTACGAGGTTTTTGTGTTCGGCCTCCTTTGCTGTAAGTTGCGCGTTGAAAAGTTATATACTACTTACTTTACCAAAAAAAAATAGTATGAAACGAGCATAATTCAACACTCAAATCAAGCAGAAAACACCCATATAAAATCCACTTATCGCCATAATTGTGATAACTTATCGTCCAATTAGTAATAGCTTATCGACCCTTGGTGATAGCTTATCGCTCAAATATCGATAACTTACCACCTAATTGGTGATAGCTTATCACTTAATAACGATAGCTTATCATTCCTTTGACGAGAGCTTATCGTTCTTTTGACGATAGCTTATCATCATTTTCTCGATAGCCTATCGCCTATTTAGCGATAGCTTATCACCAAAATTTCAATAGCTTATCACCTAATTAGCAATAGCTTATCGTCTAACTTTCCGATAACCTATTGCCAGTTGATAATCCATCAACTAATTAATCACAATTAATCACTAATCACCCAATTAACTTAATATAAACTAATCCTAATCAAGTTTAACATACTAATCAAGGGATTAGAACGTTAACTCACCCGTTAACAATTCCAACGACACGGACACGAAGGCGGCGGCGAGGGCTACGCGTGGCTCGGTCCGGAAACGACACGAGGTGTCGACGATGGCATGGACAGCAGCTTAGCAGCTTCGGTGGGGGTTGGTTTGGCTCGCGGTGAGGGCGGACCGTCGAGGAAAGCTGCTCGAACGGGTGGCGCACGGCGACGGACGGTCATGGCGCTTGACGGGTGGTGGCGGGTGGTGATGGTGGCAAAACAGCAGCCAAGGGGGCGGTGGGACTGAGCTTGGTTGAAGGAAAGAAGAGGAGGGAGAGAGGGGGCGAAAATGAGAGAGAGAGAGAGAGTTTGAGAGATATTTTCTTATCCCCAAAGTCTTCATTTATCAATGCTGATCCCCCAAAGTCTTCACTAAAGTGAGCTTAGTGGGCCTCATTGGGCCCACTCGAACTTGTTTGGGCCCAAGTGGCTGAAGCACACATTAGGCATGAGGTCCAATGGGCCTTCGCTCGGCCCACTTTCTCTTGGGCTCCAATTCTTGCCCAAAATTTCCTTTTCTGAGAATTTCGAGCAGACCGATAAATCGGAGGATTAACAAGGCAACGTCCAATAGGTTAGTCTTGAAATCTTTGAAAGTTTGATACCCCAATTCGGATTATAATTCATAGTCAAAATCAATCAATTGGGACTTTAGTATATCTCAAATTAACGGGTGACTTTTAGGAGTTACGCGTATTCAACCCATGTTTGATTTGATATCAAATCACGTTTAAACCTCCTCGAGTCATGGGTGACCTCGATTGTAATGTAATTGCGAGGGGTCAATCGCTAGTTCCGAAGTACACGAGCGTTAGGAATTGGTTTAGAGTCGTTCGCAATTCATACAATGGTCAGGCGGAATCACTCGCGATCCGATTGTATACTATTGGCGAATCATTCTATAACCGTTCCTTGATCGGTCTATAATGGCTCAAAATTGTCCCTCATCAATCATTATGGTCGAAGTATCAATCCATGATCGAGTTCTCAGGTTGTGCGTACTTAATTCCTTAACAGCCTTTTCCTATTAGTTAGTCCTCTCATGAGTGATCAATTTAGAGCGAGATTTAACTAACTGTGCATCAATGAAATTATCATTTCATATATCTCGAAAAGGGTCAAATTTCAGGATATCACAACTAGCTAAGATGTTGACACTAAAAATAATCTGATTATTGATAAGCACATGTTTAGCGTGTGAGTGAGAACAAACACGTGCATGGCACATGGGTGTCACTACACATACACCAGCTTATCGACGAATACAGAAATTGACATGTGTTAATCGACATTGGTATTCATTAATGCCACGTATCCAATTATCGAAATACGATGACGGATGGTCGGTAGCTGCTAATATGAGCATTGGTGATGAATAATTTGAAACTTAAAATCGGCAAGACAATTGAGGTTAAGGGCACACATTTTTAGAAGGAACAGTTATCGCTTGAAAGTAGGATCGTGGGACAGCCATCGTTACAAGAAAAAAGATCATGGAGCAATTCATATATGACAAAAGCAACCGTTTGAGAACATGGGTGCGAGAGGAGATATAGAAACATGGAGGCAATTGACGAGAGTTACTCAAGAGAATGCAGCCATCGGAAACCGTCAAAAGGCAGTTACTTCAAAACCATTATAAAAATCACCAATCATCCATCAGAAGGCGCGCATAAATCAAACCAAATGTTATCTTTCAATTATCTTTAGCTTTCCTGCATTGTACTTTAAAT